TAGTGATTATGTTTATGTATATGATGCATAAAAGCATTTAAAACTGAATCAATTTGTCCTAAATATTTGAAATGTAAACTCCATCATTCAACTCTTGAGTGAGTAATCTCCCTCACGTCTTGAAAAAAAATATATCACTAAAAGAGATTTACATAATATGACATATCATACCAAAATACCTACCAAACTGAAAATAAATTCATATGAAACTTTCGGTGAATTATATTGTAAGTAACGTGAATAATATTTTTGCAGTCCATCATTTATATTTTAAAGATATAAGTACGTGAATGGGAGCCGAAATAATAAATGTTCATCGTTTAAGGACGATAGGAGGAAACTTACAGAAGAAATCTTTGACGTTAGTTTTACGATCTGTTCGCTAATTTTTCGTTATTGTTTTAGTTGGTACAAAGTTAGCAAACCTATTGTTTAACACAACCATGGATCGCGGTATAAAGCAAAATATTAAAATGTTCAAAAACTACATCATGAAACAAGAGGAATATTTCCTACCTAGTGGCTTTTACAATGTTATCCTTCGTGGAACAAACTATTATCCTATATGCTTGGACTATTGAATTATTGCGGTTTTTCGTTTAAGTTTGTACTGTTTGAAGCGTGCAAAATAGTTAATTCTGTTATCTACATATATGCAGCTAAATAATCAAATCAAATTAATTTATTCGTTCCGAGCTAGTTTTATGAGCGTGTTTATTTTGGTTGTATATATTTGAATCATTGTGTGTACATTGTGGATACACCATAAAAGGAATAGTTCAAATCAAAGTAGTTATCCAAAAAACAGTCACGAAACATATAGTTTTTTTTTTCGTTTTTAATTTTCTGACACCCAAAACATATTACATCTAATTTTAATTGTATTGTTTAAGCCAATTGCCTTAGCATGCAATGTATTTTATATATATATATTATACCTATAGCTATTGTTATAAATAGAAAATTTAAAATAAATTATTACTAAATACTTAATAATATAGGTACTCATTTCTTCCGTAAGACATWACAATTATATCTACCGTTTTAATATTTTATTTAACCTTTTTTATTTTATAACATATTTATAACTAAATTCAAATCTCGAACGTAGATTTTAGAGTTTCTTATATCTACATCTATATGAACGTCTTTACAGATAGAATAATACATTAAATATGGTTTACCTATGTTTTATGACATCCTATAAGATTTCAGATTTATTAATTTTTGAAAGGAAACATGAATAGAATTAATGATCAATAATCATTTTAATGAGCTTACAATTCTTTTTTTTTAAATATTAATTACCCTATAGTTAACAATAGGGTAGGTTAGGTATAAAAGGTTAAAATATACAGAATGTAACAGTACTATTTGACAGATATAGTGATATTTGTAATGGAAATTTGTTAAATAATCCTGTTACACCTTATATAACAATAATATTGTATAACCATTGCTCCGATAAATATTTTATTATTGTGYATACCAAAATTGACTGGAAAATATGTTCAATTTTAAGGCAGATATTTACATATTATTCTACGATTTGTAAACCGCGGGTGTACCATAATACTATAATATCTAATCTACGTCTATTTCATGACTGAAATAGCAAGCACCGATAGATGGTAAAGCTAGGTTATGGCCATGACTGGATTATATGGATTTGCGTCTTTACCAGTACGATAGTGGTTCTTAAATCCTACTTTCAAAGCAACGTCTTATTCTTTCGTCCGTTACCAACTTATACTGAATTTTAATTGTATAGACTATAGATTTACAAGACTCCTGATAAATGTCCGGTGAATGAATTTATAACGTTACATTTGATAATAATTGAAACGTTCAAGGTGTATTTTTCTACTCAGTAGTCACACTGATTGATCATAAACTCTAACATTATGTTGTGGAGACGTGCCTAAATTGCAGGGAACAAAATAATACAGTCAAATACAATAGAGATTGGGCAAGACATACCAGCGATTTTACCTTTCAATAATTACACAAACAGCGGTAGTTTAAAAACGATTGTTTTTTTCTGTAGATACCTATTATACCTACTATCATAGACCACATTGAAATAATAACTGAAACAATATACCTACATGGATCAATAGATTCGTAAATGTTTTTTTTCAATAACACCACGTTCGTTTAGAATGAGTACCTAATCGAAAATCGTTTCATACGTCATAATATATTATATTTTATAGTTTTTTTTTTCTTTGCTACTATTATTAATGGATTAGAATAATGTATAATATACTACTTTATCAACGAATCAATGATTCAATGAATCTAATCGTTCTTTCAATATACTTATAATTATTTTATCGTTTTATTTTTTTTTTTAGTTTAACTGCGTTAGTACTATGTATGATTTATATTATATAAATATTAAATTATATAACACCCTGCCTCAATTTTTTTCATATATAGGTATAATTACAATTTTTACTATGTTTAGCTTGAATAAGTTTTTTTGATGAAATGTATAGATTGATACAGTTTTTTTCTTTATTAAAGATTTGGTATAGTGAAGATGGTTTGAAAAAGATTGTCTAAGGTTCTGCGTATTAAGGAAGTTGATCATTATTTATTTGAGTGTAAGGTTTTCTCTGCACACTTCTCATTCCGGCGCCAATTCTTTGCTGAAAACTGATAAGTGATACCTACTGTGATAGTTTTGATAGAAGTGATTAAGTGATTTATATGTGTGTGAGTGTACTTTACTCACTCAAGTGATTATGACTTATTCCCTTATAGGCAAACAATTATAGTTTAGTTATTTAATTATACTTTAAATCATATTATATAGCATTTATAATAGCAAGGATGCTTGAAGGTAAAATAGTCTAGTTCTAAAAAGAAATATTAAAAAATTGTATATTTCACATATTTATCTAACAAAAAAGTCTATAAAAATAATATTTATGAAGCAAAGATAAAAAATAAAAAATAAAAAATAATTATATTTAACACTTTCGAAAATAATTCAATATGT